TGCTACAAACTAGCTGTATGACAGGAGATATCACTGAACCTTTCTTAGCTTCTGTTTCCATAAGGAGTTAGAAAACCTTGCCCTCACTTGTTAATTCAACTATAAGCATTTTGAAAATGGAAGAGGGAAATCAATGTCTGGAGTTACTATTGTCTTTTGAATTAAAAAAAAAACTAAGCTATTTATTTTATTTGCTTTTATGAAGATATCATTCCTAAAACAGAAGGATGCAAGATTAGAAGAGTTTTGCACTTTTAAAACAAAGAGTTTTACATACACCAAAAAAGTTTTAAAGGAACGATTTTACTGCAATTATTTTTAAAGGGCTCAGCATCAATTTTAAGTAATTCCGCAACCCATAGATTTTAAATGAAAAGAATAAATCCTCCTCCTGAGTTCCCATTTTCTGAAAGCTTTTCACATTTTAAGCATTAAACCACTCAGCATAGATTTTTTTGTTACCATTTTGAAGATGTTGGAAGCATTAAACATAAAAGCTGGCATTGTTAAATAACAATGACAGTTTTTGTGTGATTGTTAAAGACATAAAAAGAGAAGATAGCATAAATGTTATATGCATAGGCTTTTAAATCAGAAGGTCTGAGTTCTAATTCTGTCTTCCACCAGTTAATAGCTATCTGAATTTAAACATTAAAATTAAACATTATTTAAATATTCTGACCCCCAGATTTTTCTAATCCATGAAATATAAATAATAATTGTATTATCCTCAGGGAGTGGTTAGAAGGATTAAATGAGAAAGTATATGCAAAGCACTTAGTGCTGTGCTAGAGTTTGAGAGTAATTAGATATATCATAAAATCAGAATGCAAAATGGTTAAGAAATACATATAAAGCTGATTAGCCTCCATAGTAATCAAATTTTAAAAGTTTTTATTTTACTTTGTTACTAATAACATTTAGTGATGGAAAAGCATTCTATTCATAAGAGTAAATGGATAAAACCTTTCTGGAAAACATTTTTGTAATATGCTGGCAAAAGCCTTAAAAATGTTTACCCAGATACAGTGGCTTGTACCTGTAATCTCAGCTACTCAGGAGGCTGAGGCAGGAGGATTGCTTGAGCCCAGGAGGTTGAGTTACATGCACTCCTGTCTGGGTGACAGAGCCAGATCTTATCTCTTAAAAAACAAAACAAAACATTACTTGACTCATTCCATTTTTAAGAATCACTTCTTAGAAAATAATCAGATATAGGCTGGGCATGGTAGCCCACACCTGTAATCCCAGCACTTTGGGAGGCCAAAGTAGGCAGATCACTAGAGGTCAGGAGTTCGAGACCAGCCTAGGAAACATGGCGAAGGCTATCTCTACTAAAAATATAAAAATAAGCCTGGCATGGTGGTGTGCACTTGTAATCCCAGTTACTCAGGAGGCTGAGGCATGAGAATCCTTTGAATCCAGGAGGCAGAGGTTGCAGTGAGCTGAAATTGCAGCACTGCACTCCAGCCTGAGTCACAGAGTGAGACTCTGTCTACAAAATAATAATAATAATAATATAAAAATAAATAATAGAAAAGAATCAGATATAAAGATACAGAATTATATATATAAATCAGAAACTACCTAAATGTTTCAGTCCAGAAAAATCACTTAATAAATTATAGCACATCACCTTCTGAACTGATGCACTGAGATTCAGATCAGGGCACATCATCTCTGTGGTATCCTTACCAAAAATGCATAACCTGAATGTAATCAAAAGAAAATGTCAAACAAACTCAAACTGAAGAACATTCTACAAAATAAGCTGAGGTAATAAAAGACAAAGAAAAATGAAGGAACTATCCCCAAATGGAGAAAACGGAGACCCTACAGCTTAATGCATGGCATGGTCCTAGATATCAGAGGAACAATTCATGAAATTTGGGGAAGGTCTGAAGATTAAAGTATTGTATCATAGTTAATTTTCTGGTTTTGATCATTGCACATGATTATGTAAGATGTTAACATTTGCAAAAGCTGGCTGAAAAGTATACTAAAAATCTTTGTACTCTTTTTGCAACATTGGGTAAGACAAATTATTTCAAGATGAAAATTTTTTCAATTAAAAAATTAATGACATTCACACAGTGATTATGCATCCATTTAAAAGGTTTATAATTAATCTTCATGACATTGGAAAATGCTTAGTACATAGCATTATGGAGAGAAAAAACAAAAGCCAGTTTATCCACTGAAAACTAAAGGCCAGAATGAATCCACTAAAATCTTTAGTGGTAATTTCTAACTAGAAGATTACAGATGCTATGTTCTTAATTAATTTTTTAGTTTCATATTTCCCAATTTTTTCTACCATGAACATTCACCACTTTTAAAATTGGTGGGAGGATGCTATTTTTAAACACACACCATGAATTTTGCATCACAAAACTTCATTTAGACATATTTCTTCTCCTTGGTTTTAATAAATAACATTTTTTCAATACTTTGAGTTTTCAAAACTATGCTTTTGATAAGCCAACAATAAGTCTTGGCTTATGTGAGTTTCCTAATTTGGCATCAGTAACCAAAAGTGCTTAGTCGTTTCCCTAACTACTTGGAAATGAATTCTTGGCCCTATGTCTTCTTAAGTTCTGTGGATCTCATGTTGGAAACAGTTGCTTCATTTCCACTAAATAATTGGAAATATTCCCTGGGTCATCAGAGAAGCTCAAACCTATGCCCATCTGAATCTCAGTCAAGAATCGAAGGAACAGGAACCTAATCATTTCTCCTCAGCCTGTTGCAAATTAAGAGAGGAATGCATTTGTGCTGAAGACCGGAAAATTAAAAAGAAAGCACACATTCTGCTAGGAGACAAGTCAAGGTGGCCACCAGGAGTCTTGGACCCCTTGGCTTCAGAAGACAATCTTCTGAGTAATCAGGATGTTTAGCAAGGCATACTTGAGGGGGTGTAAAGCATGGCTCCTATCTCAAAATACCTCCCCTGTGAGGTAATATATATGACACCATTGTACACTGTATCTGCCCCTTCCATCCAGGCAGTGGCCAAAAAAGCTGTATTTTCTTGGCTCTAGAAGAATTTTTAATTCCAAAACTTACTGCCGCCACCCCTACCATCCAAGTATAATATGTCATCTACCAAAACTTAGTGCCGCCACCCCTACCATCCAAGTACAATATGTCATTTCACTAAGCAAATAATTCTAGAACAGAACTGGTTGCAGGCCCACCACAGGAGAAAGAGTATGGGGAACTGGGATTCAGAAGGCACTGTGGATGGGCACCTGGAAAAGAGAGGTGCAGGACTCCTGTAGCAAGTTCTGCCAAGTCACAGTCTGTTCTAGCGCCATCCTCCTTAGGCATTCACTGCAGGTGCTTGGCCAGCATCAGTCTGCCTTCTCAGGGTTATGAGTAGAGTACATCCCCTCCTCCATTCCATAAGCATTCCCCTAACGCCTTCCCGACAAGCTCAAAGCCAAGTCCCAGTTTATCTTTCCAGAATTTCAGCTCCCTGCCTCAAAGCCCAATTCCAGCCACAGTTCTGAGCTTTGTACATTGTTGCGTCCTTACCCAGCTAGTTTTAGCTTTCAACCACAATTGTATCCCTGCCATCTCTGCTTCAATGTCATCTCTGAAGGCCAAACATGACCCACCAGCTCCCAAGGCATGTAGTATCACTTGCTCAGTCACTCAGTCCATCACCACATGCCTGGACCCTCACAGCCTCACCACTTGCCTCCTGAGCCTTTCATGCCCCTCCCGTGTCCCACCTCCACCATCGGCTTTCTACACTCTACCTTTTAGGGGCCCAGTCTCCCCACTACGGTCTCCCATATCCTGTTTTTATTTATGCTTGGCCTTGTTCCAGAAAAGACAAGACAACACACACTCTAGTCCTACCATGTTTTCTCAAGTGGGCTTCTTAACCCATGCGGCTTCTCATTCTGTTTGCCCTATGAAGCACAGAGATCCAAGGACAGCGTTTCTCTGTGACATCAATTCCTGCACCTTCTAAGACAGGTCAACAGTAATGGCAGAGGCTATCCTCGTAGCAAAGGGGAAACAATGGCAAAACCTCTGAATTTGAACTACCAGCCAAAAGCCAACTGAGATATTAAGACAGTAAAGCCAGGAGCACCAGGACAGGAACTCAGACCTCTTACCAGACAGATGCTGCTCTCCCGCTCCCCCTGCTGGACACCGAGGTCCTGGGGAGATGCTTCCAAAGTCCATAGGCCCCAGCTTATCAGACACCTGTGTTTGCCTCAAGGGGTGTAAACTAAACGTTAAAGAGAAGCCACACTTGCTAATCATATTTAATTATCGTCAATGACAAATTAGAGTAACAGAGTACCCCTCAGTGGAAAAAGGTAGGTTTTTAGACAGACTGGCTCTGACCCCCCATTCTGTCACATTCTAGTTAGGATATTAGGAAAGTTATTCTGAGTGTCCCTGGGCCTCAGTTTCCCCAATCGTAAAGTATAGATGACAATACCCACCCCATATGGCTGATATGAAGATTAAATGAAATAAACAGTGCCTGGCCTATTGCAGGCATCCAATTGTTACTGTCCCTGCCAATTGGCACCTAAGCTCTTGGCACCCCAGTGGCTTCATCTATGTAATTCCAATAATACCTGCACAGCCTACTTGTGAGAGTTGGCTGGGGCAGATGAGAGAACAGATGTTTGTTAAAGTACTGTGTAAACCATTAAGTGCTATGCTAATTAAATTCATCAATGACAGCACCACCTGCCTGGCACTTTGAAGACACAGAGATGACAATAGTAGTTTTGATCTTTGGGGAAAATTGGAAATTTGTGGATGAAATAAGCATGCATGAGAATAACTGTACTTCAAATAGGAGACTGCCTGGCATATTAGTAATAAAGAAAAAGAATAATGGGAATGTAGAGAAAAGAATATTTTATTTGCCTGAGGCGGAGGATAGAGCAAGAATCACAGATGACCTCATGAGTATGTCACACTGGAGCAGGTCATAAAGACAAGTAAGATTTCAGTCAGCAGAGATAAGGAGAGGGCCTCCCAAACCCGGGAAAGAGTGAGGGTCATGATGCAGAGGAATGAGTGCTCTGGGGATATGAAAAACTCAAGCTTGAGCACAGCCTGCGATGAGGTACCACAGTGGAGAATGGGGTTATGAGGACAGGTTGGGAAACGATGGTGTTATGTGGGATTGAACATGACAGCCAGGCAGTGTGAAACCATCTAAGCTTTGTGAGCAGCAGGTCTGAGAAAGTTTACCAAAGACAATGAAAGTTGGCATGAGATGGGGAGAACAGAGGTAAATACAGGAAGAAATCATGACTGCCAAAGAAAGATGGGGGCCTCAGGTGAAAGAAGAAAGAAAGAAGAAGAGAGGGAGGGAGAGAGGGAGGGAGGGAGGGAGGGAGAGAGGGAGGGAGGGAGGGAGGGAGGGAGGGAGGGAGGGAGGGAGGGAGGGAGGGAGGGAATGTCCTCCAATATACCATGAATAAGATCAATATTTATTTATTGTTAATCTTTGGTAATACTTCCTTCTAGTTTTATTTCTGTGGTTTTTAAAGAAGCATGTTAAGATTAGATTACATTTGAAGCTCTGAATTCAGGGCTTAAAAAATCAGATTACAAATATAAACGTTGCATTCTTGTGTTTTGTTTTGCTCATCATAACAAATATTTCTCCCATTGTTGAAAACTGGAGGAGTCCACTCAGAATCCATATTGCTGTAACAAGACAAAGAAGTTTATGTGTATTAATTTTGTAGTGTAATGAGGACTTCCAGTTTCCAGTCCAACATTTAAAGAGCTTGGAAGGCATCATTCTCATCTTCACAAGAAAATGACCTTATGTAATTCCCTCGTTTTGAGTGTGGAATGGATCTAGTCGCTTGCTTCTAATAAATCAAATATGGCAAAAGTGATATACCACTTTGGATATTAGGTTACAAAAGACTGTAATGGACTTCTGTCTTGCTAAATCTCTTCCTCTCTTTCTCTCTGGCTCTTTTTCCTTGCTTGTTTGGAGGCAAGCAAGCTGCCATGCTGTGAATTATCCTGAGGAGAGGCCCACATGGCTAGGATAGAGTTTAAAATCAGCAAAGGAATTTCCTGAATCTGAGGTTCTATGTCTTTCATTAATTCTGGAAAAAAAACATCTCAGTCATTATTAACAAAGGGCACAAACCAGGTATAAGATTCCAGTTGTCCTCTCCCGGTAGAGTTGCACAGACAGTGCTAAATTCTCCCAGCAATGATGTGTGACAATAGATGTAAAGTGTTGCCAACTAGAAAAGCTCACCCAAAGATGTGTATCCAGGGCGTTTATGGAGCAGCTACATGACTGACCTTAATGATTTAAGTCTTTAGTTGCCCTCAGAGGTCAAATTGATAAGGCAGTGGCCTAGGCTCTCAGGCAAAATACAACAACAAAAACAGGTGTTCATCTTAAATTACATTGTTAATATATGATTCCTGGAATGGTCCATGGCATCAGGTATACAAATAAACTCTTATGGTGGGATTTTCCAAGGGCTTATAGCTTATCAGCAGGTAGTCAAGGTCCAGTCCTAAAGACATTTGGAACTTGTGGTGTTCGGACAACCCAGGCCTGCTGTGTTAACTCTTTACTGTCATCTGCCATCCTGCCTTTACTGACAGGATGCCATCAAGGAAACAGTTGCCTAGATAGCGAAAAGCTCACCAGATGATATTGGAATTGGGTGCAGCACTCCCTGGTGCTGTGTGCCCCTTCCCTATGCAGGCAATGTGTACTCTGTAGAAAATGTGTTAGAATATGGCCATTCAAGCAGAAAGGGCATCAGTGTTCTAGCAACATGGCTAAAGAGTCCATCAGTGAGAAGATCTAGCAGGAGTTTCAAGCCCAGGTAAGGTGTCAGGTAGTTTACTGCCCTGGAGTGGCAGTATGATGCAGAGAAATAAACTGTAGGCTTAGAATGAGGACACCTGATCCTGTCATTTTGACCAACTGGCTTTAGGGTCCTCGTCTGAAATATTTTTCTACTTATAGATGGGAGGCAATTTTGCATAGCAAGTAAGAGTGCTGACAGGGCAAGTTTAGTGGGCAAGCAACTTGTGTAGGCACACAGAGCCCTGTACTCAACCCTAAACATGGTTTAATACTGTGCTGTCACCATCTTGAAATTCCTAACATTCAAAGAAGGAGCCCCATATTTTTGACTTTCACAAAGCCCCATAAATTATGTAGACTCTCCTGGTGCCAGGTCTGGAGTTAGCCCATGGGTCCAAATCCCTGATCTATCATTTTTAGATATTTGAACTAGGGCATAACATCTAATAACTTTTAAACTTGTTTTCTTGTCTGTAAACAGGATTTTTAAAGAATGTTGTGAAGACTAAGGAAATAATATATGGAAAAATATAGCATTGTGCTATACATACATACAGTCATTCCTCAGTATCCATGGGGAATTAGTCCCAGGATCCCCTTAGGTGCCAAAATCCATGGATGTTCAAGTCCCTTACATAAAATAGAGTAGTATTTACATATAACCTATATACTATCCTTCCAGGTACTTAAAATCATCTCTAGATTACTTATAATACCAAATACAATGTAAATGCCATGAAATATTTGTTATACTGTACTTTTTAATTTGTTGGGTTTTTAAAATTTTTACCTGGGGGGCCTGAGGTCCTAAAAAAATTGTATTATTTTTCATTGCTGTATTTTTTATTGTTGGGGAAGTTTTTTTGTTGTAGTTTTCAATGCATGGTTGGTTGAATCCATGGATGTGGAACCCATGAATTCAAAGGACCAACTTCAGTTGTAAGTGATAACTATTATTTGTTCTCAATAATAATAAAATGAGGATGTAATAGCTATCTATTGCTGTGTAACAAATTACCCCAAAACTCAGTGGCTTAAAACAACAACATTTATTATCTCATGGGTTTTGAGGGTCAGAAATGCCAGTGGAGTTTACCTGTATCCTCTGGCTCAAAGCCTGTCACCAGACTGCAATCAAGGTGTCAGCCAAGGCTACAGTCATCTTAAGCTTTAATTGCAGAAGAATCTGATGACAAGCTCATGCATGTGGCTATTGACAGGATGCCTAATAGGCTGTTGGAATGAGGGCCTCTGTTCCTTGCTGGCAGTTGGCTAAAAGACACCCTCTGTTCCTCGCTATGTAGCTCTCTCCTTAGGGCAACTCACAATATGGCAGCTTGCTGGCATCAGAACAAACAAGTAAGAACCAGGAAGAGAGACTGAATCAGACAGAAGTCAAAGTCTTTTGTAACCTAATATGAAAAGTGGCATAGCATCACTTTTGCCATATTTGATTCATTAAAAGAAAGCGACTAGATCCATCTCACACTCTAGAAGATGAGATTACACAAGATCACTGTTAAAAACTGAACAGAATCATCCTAAAACTTATCTCTTAAAGTTCTAACCCCCAGTACCTCACAATGTGACTATATTTGAAGATAAGGTCTTAAAAAGGGTAATAGGGCTAATGAAGTTATATGGGTGTGCCTAGCTCCAATATGACTGGTGCCTTTATAAGAAGGGGAAGGGGCCGGGTACAATGGCTCGTATCTGTAATCCCATTTTGGGAGGCTGAGGCAGGAGGATAGCTTGGGTCTGGGAGGTTGAGGCTACAACAAGCCAGGATTGTGCCACTGCCCTCCAGCCTGGGCAACAGGGTAAGACCCTGTCTCAAAAAAAAAAAAAAAAAAACAGGAAAGGATGACCAAGGATACATGTGCCATTGGAAAGGCCAGGCAAGGACACAGTGAGAGATGGCCACCTACAAGGCAAGGAAAGACACTTCAAGAGAAACTAAAACTGTCAACAGGTCTGTTGGACTGGTTTGATCTTGGACTTCTAGCCTCCAGAACTGTGAGAAAATAAATCTCACATTTAAGCTACCCAGTCTGTAGTAATTTGTTTTAGTGGTGTTGACCAAAAGAGTCAAACTCTATAAAATATTTTAGGAGATTTATTCTGAGCCAAATATGAGTGACCATAGCCCGTGACACATAGACTAAGTTTCCTACGGCTACAGCCTTTCAGATAAGTCTTATACTTTAAAAAAAAGAAATTAAACGGCCAGGTGCAGAGGCTCATGCCTGTAATCCCAACACTTCTGGGAGGCCAAGGCAGGTAGATCATGAGGTCAGGAGTTCAAGACCAGCCTGGCCAACATGGTGAAACCCCCTTTATACTAAAAAATACAAAAATTAGCAGAGCATAGTACAGTGTAATCCTAGCTACTCAGAGGCTGAAGTAGAGAATTGCTTGAACCCCGGAGGCAGAGGTTGCAGTGAGCTGAGATTGTGCCACTGCATTCCAGCTTGGACAACTCTGTCTCAAAAAAAAAAGAAAGAAAAGAAAAAAATTAAACTAATAGTTCTATGGAGATCTTTTCCATGAAAACTCATAGGAGTTCTCTTCAAAGCATTTGAGAATTCTAATAATCTACTGATCCACATCATCACTTATAATTAGAGCCTCTGTTTACTTGAAAGGAAGTATGACCAAAAAAGAAATCAAAAGAAGAATAAGATCGAGTCAAGCATATATGTCAACTCTATCTCTCAATTGAAAAATGTGAGATTGAAAACATAGGCCAGGCATGGTGGCTCAGGTCTGTAATCCCAGCACTTGGGGAGGCCAGGTGGGTTGATTATAAAGTCAGAAGCTTGAGACCAGCCTGACCAACATGGTGAAATACCGTCTCTACTAAAAATACTAAAATTAGCCAAGCATGGTGGCATATACCCGTAATCCCAGCTACTCAGGAGGCTAAGGCAGGAGAAACACTTGAACCCAGGAGGCAGAGATTGTGCTGAGCCAAGATCACACCACTGCACTCCAGCCTGGGCGACAGAACAAGAATCTGTCTCGAAAAAAGAAAAAAGAAAGTTGTCTTGGACTTCCCATTTCAGCCATGACAGAGTACGTGGTATTAGACTTAGCTTTCCTACCATAAACTGGCCAAAATACATAAAACAATTTTCAGGGATTGGTCACCGGTTAAAACAGAGTTAATATCTTTGAAAGAAACCAAAGTGAGCTTCACATCCCCCCTGCTTGAGAAGTTGAGTCCAAGTGGAAAGTTGCATTTGCATAGGGCAGAGGAAAGACAGACTAGAATTCGAGCCTGCCACAGTGGCTAGGATTTGGAAGTCAGGCGCTGCAGAACAGGGAATTGCACAGAAGAGGACTTCCTAGGCCACATGACCAGACTGTAGGGTAAGACACCCAGGGTCTAGCAGAGAATAGCTGCTGGGAGGCTGGAGAGCTAAACAGAAATCTCACAGGCCACACAGTGCTAGGGTGTAAATGTAGGAATGTAAAGGAGTCCTAATCCAGCCAGGGTAAAGAGATACTGGTGAATTCCTAGACTTCCAGATGAGTCACAAAGAAAAATGCCATGTCCTAAGAATATAAATTACCCTCTAGGAGTAAGGACTACACCCAAAGAGTAAGGTCGAAACTGAAGTAAACCTACCACAACAAAGCCTAAATCCAGTTTTCATCAGAATTGAAGTTATCTGTCAATAATTTAATTGCCAGCCAGAAAAAAAATAACATTTTTTGGAGGGAGTTAACATAATCCAGAGTTTCTATAAAATATCATTCGTAACATCTAGCATGTAAAATTCACCAGGCAAGAAATTGGTTAAAGTTATTAATAGCCAGCCAGGGACAGTGGCTAATCCCTGTAATCCCAGTACTCTGGGAGGCTGAGATGAGAGCATTTCTTGGGGACAAGAGTTTGAGACCAGCCTGGGCAGCATAGCAAGTCCCTATATTTACAAAAAACAAAAAATAAAAGAATTAGCCAGGCATGGTGGCACACAACTGTAGTCCCAGCTACCAAGGAGACTGAGGCAGGAGGATCGCTTGAGCTGGGAGTTCAAGGCTGCAGTGAGCTATGATTGTACCACTGCACTCTAGCCTGCATGACAGAGCAAGACCCTATCTCTAAAAAAAATTTTTTTTTAGTTTAAGTGACTAACAGCCAAGAGATGGGAGCAGGTAGAGATGATCCAGATAATAAAGTTAGCAAGAAAGATTTCAAAATAACTATAATTAATATGTCAAAGAAAATAGGGGTAAAGATTGACAATGAGAATGGAAAGATGAAGTATAAAATCAGTTCAAGAACAGCCTGGGCAACATGTTGAGACCCCCATCTGTATTACTTAAAAAATAAATAATAGGCCAGGCACAGTGGTTCACACCTGTAATCCCAGCACTTTGGGAGGCCAAGGAGGGCGGATCATTAGGTCAAGAGATCGAGACCATCCTGGCCAACATGGTGAAACCCCACCTCTACTAAAAATACAAAAAAATTATCCAGGTGTGGTGGCACATGCCTGTGGTCTTCAGGAGGCTGAGGCAGAAGAATTGCTTGAACCCAGGAGGCAGAGGTTGCACTGAGCCAAGATTGTGCCACTGCACTCCAGCCTGGTGACAGAGCAAGACTCTGTCTCAAAAATAAATAAATAAATAATAGAACGTATAAATCGATATGGAAAAGGCCAACATGCCAACAGAAAATGCACTAAAGGAAACACAATGCTTCCTAAATATGAAAACATTCTCCATGTCACTCAAAGAAAAATGGTAATTAAAACTATAAGATGCCATATTTCATCTTTTTGGAAAGACCATTAAGTTTGATAACACATGAGTCAGCAAAGGTATGGGCAAAAGGGGCTCTCAGAATTTTCAGAGATCTACACTCCCAAACACACATCACTCTGCCATTCCTAGAGTCTGGCCTTTCTCCTCCTGATACAAGACAGCTATCACCCAGTCATTTCACATCCACTTCAAAAAACATACTTCCTTTTCAGGAAGACTTCCTCAAAGTACCATACAACACTTCTGCTTACATCTCAGTTATCAAATATTAGTCATAGAGCCATATCTAACAGCAAGTCTGGGACTCTTATAGCTTGGTTGCCACATAACCAGCTAAAAGTGATACTTTCCAGTCAAGTGCGGTGACTCATGCCTGTAATCCCAGCATTTTGGGAGGCCAAGGCAGGCAGATCATGAGGTCAGGAGTTTGAGAAGACAACCTGGCCAACATGGTGAAACCCAGTCTCTACCAAAAATACAAAAATTAGCTGGGCATGGTGGCAGGTCCCTGTAATCCCAGGCAGAAGAATTGGTTGAACCTGGGAGGCGGAGGTTGCAGTGAGCCAAGACCACGCCATTGTACTCTAGCCTGGGTGACAGAGTGAGACACTGTCTCAAAAAAAGAAAAGTGACACTTTGCAAGAGAGCAACGGAAATGGATTTTTGTTAGGCAATTAACATTTTCTGCCATGTCTACTTCTTTGATTGCCAACTCTTGATCACACTTTCTCATATACAGAACACAGTGAATCTTTCCCAGGGATACAGTTCTCAAATTTCATCCAGATTCTGCATCCAGGTCAAAGTTCAGGAACCCTGGGAAATGTGTACCTTCCATCTGGTCCAGATAGCACCTCATGGTCCAGCAATCAAAAACCTTAAAAGTGAGGCTGGGCACGGTGGCTCACGTCTGTAATCCCAGCACTTTGGGAGGCCAAGGGAGGCAGATCACCTGAGCCCAGGAGTTCAAGACAAGCTTGACCAACATGGAGAAACCCCATCTCTACTAAAAATACAAAACATTAGCCAGGCATAGTGGCACATGCCTCTAATCCCAGCTACTTGGGAGACTGAGGCAGGAGAATCACTTGAACCCAGGAGGTGGAGGCTGCAGTGAGCTGAGATTGCACCATTGTACTCCAGCCTGAGCAACAAGGATGCAACTTTGTCTCAAAAAAAAAAAAAGAGTTAACTGCCCCAATCTTACCCAATATACAAAGATGGAATAGAAGCAAGATTAAAACACTGAAACTGCCAATCAGGAAAGGGGAGAAAGGAAAGCTTGCCATGGTCACTGATCTCTAGTAATATTAAATCTCATGGGGAAGAAAGAGTAATTTCCTTCCTAGGCAGTATCTGGGCCTTCAGTTGTGCTCTCTGGGAAACTCCTTCAAGGGCTTCCATTTTTGCTCTCTTCACTCTCTGAGGTTGTTTCTTGTCCACTATTTTCTGTTGGCTCATCTTAATTAGGCATTAGGGAACATCAGGGAGCTGCTGACATTCCGTAGCTCACTCTTTATTAGTGGTTATATTAGTTCATTTTCAGGCTGCTGATAAAGACATACCCCAGACTGGGCAATTTACAAAAGAAAGAGATTTAATTGGACTTATAGTTCCATGTGGCTAGGGAAGCCTCACAATCAAGGTAGAAGGCAAGGGGAAAAAAGTCATGTCTTACATGAATGACAGCAGGCAAAAAGAGAGCTTGTAGAGAGAAACTCCCATTTTTAAAACCATCAGACCTCGTGAGACTCATTCACTACTATGAGAATAGCAAACGAAAGACCCGCCCCCATAATTCAATCACCTCTCACTGGGTTCCTCCCACGACACATGGAAATTGTGGGAGTTAAAATTCAAGATGAGATTTGGGTGGCGACAGAGCCAAACCATGTCATTCTACCCCTGGCCCATCCCAAACCTCATGTCCTCATATTTCAAAACCAATCACACCTTACCAATAGTCCCCCAAAGTCTTAACTCACTTCAGCATTAACTCAAAAGTCCACAATCCAAAGTCTTATCTGAGACAAGGCAATTCCCTTCCACTTTTGAGCCTGTAAAATCAAAAGCAAGTTAGTTACTTCCTAGATAAAATGGGGGTACAGGCATTGGGTAAATACAGCCATTCCAAATGGGAGAAATTGGCCAAAACAAAGGGGCTACAGGCCCCACCCAAGTTCAAAATCCAGTGGGGTAGTCAAATCTTAAAGCTCCAAAATGATCTCTTTTGACTCCAAGTCTCCAGGTCATGCTGTTGCAAGAGGTATGTTCCCATGGTCTTGGATAGCTCCACCTCTGTGGTTTTGCAAGATACTGCCTCCATCCTGGCTGCTTTCATGGACTGGCATTGAGTGTCTATGGCTTTTCCAGGTATGTGGTACAAGCTGCTGGAGGATCTATTGTTCTGGGATCTGGAGGATGGTGGCCCTCTTGTCACAGTTCCACTAGGTGATGCTCCAGTAGGGATGCTCTGTGGGGGTTCCCACCCCACATTTCCCTTCTGCACTGCCCTAGCAGAGGTTCTCCATGAGGGCCCTGCCCCTACAGCAAACTTCTGCCTGGTCATTCAGGCGTTTCCATACATCTTCTGAAATCTAGGCAGAGGTTCCCAAATCTCAATTCTTTTGTGCACTCATAGGCTCAACACCACATGGAAGCTGCCAGTGCTTGAGGCTTCCATCCTCTGAAGCCACAGCCCAAGCTCTATGTTGGTGCCTTTCACATGGCTGGAGCAGCTGGGACACAGGACATCAAGTCCCTTCTCTGCACACAGCACAGGGACCCTGAGCCCAGCCCATGAAACCACTTTTTCATCCTAGGCTCTGGGCCTGTGATGGGAGGGGCTGCAGCAAAGGTCTCTGACATGACCTGGAGACATTTTCCCCATTGTCTTGGTGATTAATATTTGCTCCTTGTTACTTATGCAAATTTCTGCAGTCAGCTTGAATTTCTCCTCAGAAAATGGGATTTTCTTTTCTATTGCCTTGTCAAGCTATAAATGTTTTGAACTTTTAGTCTCTGTTTCTCTTTTAAAACTGAATGCTTTTAACAGCACCCAAATCACCTCTCGAATGCTTTGCTGCTTAGAAATTTCTTCTGCCAGATACCCTAAATCATCTCTCTCAAGTTCAAAGTTACACATGTTTCTAGGGCAGGGCAAAATACCACCGGTCTCTTTGCTAAAACATAACAAGAGTTGCCTTTGCTCCAGTTCCCAATAAGTTTCTCATTTCCCTCTGAGACAACCTCAGCCTGGACTTTATTGTCCATATCATTATCAGCATATTGGTTTGAACCATTTAACAAGTCTCTAGGAACTTTCACACTTTCCCACATTTTCCTGTCTTCTTCTGAGTCCTCCAAATTGTTCCAGCCTCTGCCTGTTACCCATTTACAAAGTCACTTCCACATTTTGGGTACTTTTTTCAGCAGTGCCCCACTCTACTGGTACCAATTGACTGTATTAGTCCATTTTTATGCAATTGATGAAGATGTACCTAAGACTGGGCAATTTAGAGAAGCCTCATAATCATGGTGGAAGGCAAGAAGCAAGTCACATCTTACATGAATGGCAGCAGACAAAAAGAGAGACTGTGAGCCAAATGCAGTGGTTCACACCTGTAATCCCAGCACTTTGGGAAGCTGAGGTAGTTAGGAGTTTGAGACCAGCCTGGCCAACATGGTGAAGCCCCATTTCTACTAAAAATACAATAAATTAGCTGAACATGGCGGTGCATACCTGTAATTCCAGCTACTTGGAGGCTGAGGCAGGAGAATTGCTTGAACTCAGAGGCAGAGGTTGCAGGGAGCTGAGATGGTGTCACTGCACTCCAGCCTGGGCGACAGAGCACAACTCTGCCTCAAAAAGAAAAAAAAAGAGAGAGAGCTTGTGTAGGGAAACTCCCATTTTTAAAACTATCAAATCTCAGGAGACTTACTCACTATCATGAAAACAGCACATGAAAGACCCACCCACATAATTCAACCACCTCCCACCGGGTTCTTCCCACAACATGTGTGAATTGTGGGAGTTACAATTCAAGATGAGATTTGGGTGGGCATACAGCCAAACCATATCAATGGTGCAAGTCTAAGTTTTCTTGAGAAAAACTGTTTTTTTTTCCCCACCCTGTTTCCATGCCCCTTTTTTTATTTTCTCATTTGGGCTATCCTTGATGCAGGAGGAAAAAGAAGAGAAAGTGCTTCAGTTTTGAGTAAAACTCTAAGATTATTATTTACCTTTTAATACTCTTATAACTTTGCTTCTGGCAGGAAAGGACAGCATCAGCTAAAATTTTCCATATTAGTTTACCTGGGTCAACATCAAAGTTTTTAATACTTAACTTAAAAATCCCCCTGGACTGTTCAGCAGAGAAAAACCAAAATCACATATTTGTTGAGTATCTACCATATATGGTACACTAAGGACATCAGATTCAAGAAGATCCTGGTCCCCATCTTGATGTGGTGGTTACAGGGTATACACAATTGGCAACACTCAACAAACTGCATGTGTACTTAAGATCTGTTCACAGTGGCTGGGCACAATGGTTCACGCCTGTAATCCCAGCATTTTGGGAGGCTGAGGCAGGCGGAGCACCTGAGGTCAGGAATTTGAGATCAGCCTGACCAACATGGTGAAACCTCGTCTCTACTAAAAATACAAAAATTAGCTGGGCATGGTGGTGCATGCCAGTAAGCCCAGCTACTAGGGAGGCTGAGGCAGGAGAATCACTTGAACCCAGGAGGCGGAGGATGCAATGATTTGAGATGATGGTATTGCATTCGAGCCTAAGCAACAGAGAGACTCCATCTCAAAAAAAAAAAATCTATTCATTGTTTTGCATATAAAAGACACAACAAAATGTAGGCTATTGAAGGAAAGACAAAAAAAATGTTTAATGTTTACTATTGCTAACACATTAATTTCAAAGAAGTTAAATTTATGGCCAGGCACAGTGGCTCAGACCTGTAATCCCAACATGTTGGGAAACTGAGGTAGGTAGATCTCTTAGTCAAGTAGTTCAAGACCACCCTGGGCAACACGGTGAAACTAGGTCTTTACAAAAAATTAGCTTGGCCTGGTAGCATACCCAGGATGCTTAGGTGGATGGATCATCTGAGCCCAGGAGGTTGAGGCTGCACTGAGCCATGTCTGTGCCACCTCATTCCAGCCTGGGTGTCAGAGTGAGACCCTGTCTTCAAAAAAGAGAGAGAGAGAGAGAAGTTAAATTTATGATATGAATTTGACTATTCTATTTGTATAATATAAGGCACTGGGTATTGCATAAAGTACATGGGCCCTCTCTATGGAACTTGAAAATTCGTTTTTGCAATTGTCTGTACACCATTCCTCTTAGGTCTTTTAGGCTGACTGACTGCCCCATGGACACCATGTTAACATCTGTGACCTGCATGGACACTCCAGATGAGTTCCTGGAAAATCTGAAGAACCTGGAAGACCATGAAAAGGGGAAGAAATGATCAACCCCTGTGAAGCCTACTTAACTTTGAGACATTCTCTATTGTTCCTTATTCCTGCCCCAATTGATAAGGCTATTGGACTTTGTAACTGACCTTACCAACCTCGTGACTCTAGACCCTACGACCCCCTCCCAGCTTGCAAAAAACCACGCTAAAATATAGCTCCTATAACTTTCCACTGCTTTCCCCACAACCTATAAAACCAACTCCTATATCACCCCTTTTGCTGACTCTTTTCAGACTCAGCCTGCCCACACCCGTGTGAATAAACAGCCATGTTGTTCACACAAAGCCTGTTTGCAGGGGTCTCTTCATTCAGAGCTCGTGTTTTAACATTTGGTGCCAAAATGCGGGACAGGTATTCTCCTTTGGGTAGTCCAGCCCCCTGTCCCTGCTCCTCCTCTGGGAAGAGACCCACCTGAGACCTCAACACATCAGACTAGACCAGCAGCACACGCATAGCGTGCCAAACAGCTCTCCTGCCACCTTCAGATCAGGTAAGCAGTCTCCCCCTCTTTCTCTCTGTTTTCCTTTAGAGAACAGGAAACAAGTCTCTCCCCCCACACTTTTCCTTCAGAGAAGAGGAGACAAGTCTCTCTCTCTCCTTTACTTTAAATATTTCTCCTTCTAGTAGAGACAAAGAAGACATTCTTTATCTGTGTAGACCCAGAGAAGACAAGTCTCTCCCTCTGGCTCAAAAACTCTTACATCGGTCATGGACTTGGGAAGACAGTCTTCCCTTGGTGTCTGGTCAATTGCGGGGATGCCTTGACCACTCACCCACATTACAGCACAAGAATCAGTAAGGGACGCCTACTGCAAACCCTGGTAGCTGCTGGCTCCTTCTCCTAGCCTCTACTCTACTCATTTCCCTAAAACTTATCTCCTTCACCAGGGGCAATATTCCACCCTCTATTCCCGTCTTCTCCTCTAGCCTGAATCCTAAAAAGTCTAAAACCTCTTCAACTGTCATCCAGTCTGAAACCTAACCATCTCTGTAACATGACCTCAACTCAATTCAAATGGCCAGAAAACGGCACTTCCAATTTTTCTATTCTGCGAGATCTAAACAATTTTTGTCAACAAATGGGCAAATGGTCTAAGGTGCCAGACATCCAGGCATTTTTTTTATACTCTAATCCCTCCCTAATCTCTGCTCCTTCTCTCCCTTCCATCCACCCACCTACCTCTGCCAGTAACCCATAATCCTCCTTGTCCACCGACCCTTCCGACCTTTCTCCTCCCCACCTGTCCGAACCAGGCCCAATCCAGGCCCAAACACCCTTCCAGAGCCTCCCTCCTCTTCCTCTGTTCACAACCCACCTCCTTATGACCCCCCTGTCACCTTCCCACCTCACACCCAAACTGTATGACTAAACTCATAGAGTTTAGTCCCGTGACTAACTCCTCCACCCCTGCCCAACAATTCCCCCTTCAAGAGGTGGCTGGAGCCAAAGGCACAGTTAGGGTGCCCATTCCTTTCCTTTATCTGACCTTTCCCAAATCAGCCAACCGTTAGGCTCCCTTTCATCAGCTCCTCCAATACTTAGGCCAGTTCTGTAATCTCACTTGGAGTGACTTAAATGTCATACTTACTTCTACTTTCAGCCCTGAAGAACATTTATCACCCAATCATCCCCTAACATTAAAAAGCTACAGAAATTAAAATCTGACCCTCAAACCTCACAACAGGAATTAATCAACCTCACATTCAAGGTGTTCAATAGCAGTGGCAGCGCATCTCAGAACTGCAGATGCTTGCCTCTCCCCTAAGACAAACCCCAGCCACCCCACTGGCTCACAGAGACTTCAAAGTACCTGGACTGCAGCAACCAACCACCCCTCCTGGACCTTGCTTAAAGTGTCAGAAACCTGGCCACTGGGCCAAGGAATGCCCACAGCCTGGGATTCCTCCTAAACCCTGCCTTGTCTGTGCGGGCCCCCACTGGAATTGGTACTGTCCAACTCATGTCTCTGCTCTTCAGCTTGGTGAATGAAGACTGACGTTGCCCAAACATCTCAGAGGCCCCCTGGACCACTACAGATGCCAAGCTTCAGGTAACTCTCATGGTGGACGGTAAGTCCAACCTCTTCTTAATCAACACAGGACCACCCACCCCATGCTGCCTTCTTTTCAAGGACCTGTCTCCTTGGCCTCATAACTGTTGTATGAATTGATGACAAGGGCTCCAGGCCTCTCAAAACTCCCCAGGTCTGGTGTCAATTAGGCCAGCACATCCTTTGCACGTTCTTTCCTTATCATCCCCACTTGTCCATTCTCCTGTTAGCCTGAGATAGCCTAGCAATATTGTCTGCCTCCTTAACTATTCCTGGGCTACAGCCATACCTCATTGCCACCCTCCTTCCTGAACCTGTACCTCCCTCAGCAGCTCCCCTTATGTCCTCCAACCTTAACCCTAGGGTGCAGGACACCACCTCCTCATACATCCTTACTACAACATGGCCTTTCAGTTCCCACTAACTCTCTAAGACCTCCGCCTCATCAATCAGATTGTACATCCCATCAGCCTGGTTGAACCAAACCCCTATACCCTCCTATCTTCCATACCCCCTTCCACAACTCACTGTTACCTCAAAAATGCTTTTTTCTAAAGCCCAAATGTATTCCCCATCTGTTATAATTCTTTGCCAACTACATGCACTCTCCCTGCTAACCATATCCAGTTAATTTCCCAAACCCCAACCCCATCTATAAACAACAGCTTCTATCCTTCCTAGGCATCATAGGATACTTTCACCGCTGGATATAGGTTTTGCCCCCATAACCAAACCACTTTATGAACTTACAAAAGGAAACTTAGCTGACCCCACAGACCAAAAACACTTCCCCCATTCTTCCTTTCATTCACTAAAGAAGACCTTTGAAACAGCCCCTACACTAGCACTCCCCAACTCCTCCCAATCCTTCCCCTTTCACACAGCAAAAGTCAAAGGCTGTGCAGTCAGGGTTCCTACACAATAGCCAGGCCCATGACCACTCACCTTCTTGTCTAAACAGCTCAACCTCACAGCCCTAGGCTGACCGTCATGTTTACGTGCCGCAGCCACTGTAGCTGTAATACTCCTAGAATCCCTTAAAATTACAGGCTATCCTCCGCTTACTCTCTACAACTCACACAACTTCCAAAGTTTAGTTTCTTCTTCACACCATACACCCTTACCTTCAGCCCCTCGCCTTCTCCAGCTTTATGCACTCTTTTTTTTTTTTTTTTTTTTTTTTGAGACGGAGTTTCACTCTTGTTACCCAGGCTGGAGTGCAATGGCGCGATCTCGGCTCACTGCAACCTCCGCCTCCTGGGTTCAGGCAATTCTCCTGCCTCAGCCTCCTGAGTAGCTGGGATTACAGGCACGCGCCACCATGCCCAGCTAATTTTTTGTATTTTTAGTAGAGACGGGGTTTCACCATGTTGACCAGGTTGGTCTTATCAAACACCCCCCAGTTACCACTGCCCCTGGTCCAGACTTCAACCGGCCTCTCACTTAATACCTGACACAAACCCTGGACCCCATGACTGTACCTCCCTAATCCACATGGCCTCCTCTCCATTTTCCTCATATTTCCCAAATTCCTCATATTTCTCTTTCCTATTCCAGACCCAGATATGGTTTACTGTTGGCAGTTCCTCCAAGCCCAGTCAGTTGGCATTGGCCAAAGCTGGCTATGCTGTTGTATCCCACTCATCTATTGAGGCTGCCACACTCTCCCTCCTCCACCACTTTTCAGCAAGCTGAACTGATTGCCTTAACCCATGCTCTTACTCTTGCCAAAGGACTACATGTTAATGTCTATACTGACTCTAAATATGCCTTCCACTTCCTACACCACCATGCCACCATATGGGCAGAAAGAGGTTTTCTCACTACACAGGAGTCCTCTATTATCAATTCCCCCTTAATAATGGCCCTCCTTAAGGCTGCACTCCTCTTAGCCAAGGCCAGAATTATCCACAGCAGAGAACTCAGGATTCGAGCCACTCCTAAAGAACCCACAGAGAATAGCCCCTTTGAGCTCCTATATGGCTGCACCTTTCTGCTTGGGCCTAACCTCATTCCAGACACCAGTCCTCTTGGTGACTATATTCCAGTCCTCCAACAAGCCAGACATGAAATCCACCAGGCTGCTAATTTACTCTTACCCACTCCAGTAACCCGGCCATATGAAAACACCCTAGCCAGAAGGTCAGTCAGTCCTCGTTAAAAATCTAACCCCTTGGTCTCTGCAACGTTGGTGGACAGGACCCTTCCTGGTTGTCTATAGCACCCCAACCGCTGTATGTCTAAAAGACCCTCCTCAGTGGGTCCATCATTCCAGGATAAAGCTGTGTCCATCAGACAATTGGCCTGATGGACCAATTGTCTGCCTCCTCCTGGAAGCTGCAAGTACTCTCCCCAACTTCTCTTAAACTCACCAGTATCCCCGAAGTGAAAGAGTAACCCTATATCAACTTAACATACCTTTTACTTTCATTAGGCATCTTTTTCCTAATACCACTATTTAACACAGTTGCCCCTACTACTTCGACCACACCTCAGAAATTCTCTGTTTCTATTACTTTCTGGCTAACTGCTCAGATTCACTGCAGTTATTTATGTTGACATTCCCTGCTTTTGTTTAAGTTGCAGGTCTACAGTTTTCCTCCAGGAATTACAGCTGATATTTCATGGTTTTACCTTCAGGCCACCAACCTTAATTCTCTCCTAGAGTGGATAATCTTCAGTGGCAGGGAACTCTCCAGTTCTTCCACCGCAATGAAGTCCTCTTCTTTTCTTCTATACTCACTCTTAATCTCGCTCCCATTCTTCTGCTACCCCCTACCGCTCCCTGATTACCTCCAACATACCATAAACCTAACCCACTCTCCTAGCCAACTCAAACCCTTCTTCCTTAGCCAGAGATTGCTGGCTTATTGCATTTCCCTCTCCTCATCCCACTATAGTACCGTTCCAGCCCTCCTGGCTGACTGAAGGAATTCTCCCATTTCTTTTAACACCCTCCAGATTTCCTTTAACCCTCCACCTGTACCCCCCAGAACTCCTCTACCTCCTATACAGAGTCAACAGAGACCCCAGATATCTCATCCCAACAGGCTGCTGCTCTTCTATGCACCTGCCTACATAATCTTTCCCCCTACATTTACTCAACACCCACCTACCCCCACCTCCCACCACCCCCCACCTCCATTCTCAGACCACTAACCACACCAACAGCTATTCCTATGGCTACTCCCTTACGCATTTCCTGACAATCACCAACTGGAATCCTCCTAGGA